GGGGTGCACATATCTTTTCAAATCAGGGATGTTTTTTTTTGGGTAAATTGCTTGAAACGGAATTACTGGGTTGAATGGTATTTCTATTCTTAGTTTTTTTTGAGGAGCCTCTATACTGCTTTCCACAATGGCTGTACCAGTTGACATTACCACCAACTGTGTAGGAGGATCCCCATTTCTCTGCATCCTCATCAACATTTGTTATTTGTTATCTTTTAGACAGTGGCCATTCTGACTGGTCTGAGGTGCTATCTCACTGTGGTTTTGATCTACATTTCCCTGATGATTAGCAGTGTGGAGCATCTTTTCATGTACCTTTTGGGCATCTGTACTTCTTTGGAGAAATGTCTGTTCAGGGCCTCAGCCCTGATGTTATTTGTTTTGTTTTTTTGGGGGGGTGTTAAACCCTTTATTATATAATCATTTGCATACATATTCTCCATAGTGTAGGATACCGTTTTGTTCTGGTGATGGTGTCCTTTGCTGTACAGAAACTTTTTAATTTGATGTAGTCCCACTTGTTCATTTTTTATTTTGTTACCCTTGTTTGAGGAGATATTTCTGGGAGAAAATTGTTCATACTTATGTTCATGAGATTTTTGTGTATGTTTTCTTCAGAGAGTTTCATGGTTTCATGTCTTACATTCAGGTCTTTGATCCATTTCAAGTTTACTTTTGTGTGTGGAATTAGACAATCCAGTTGCATTCTTTTGTATGTAGCTGTCCAGTTTTCCCAACACTAGTTATCGAAGAGGCTGTTTTTTTCCCCATTGGATAGTCATGGCTCCTCTCTCATGTATTACTTGGCTATATATTCCTGGGTTTAAATATGGGCTCTCCATTCTGTTCCATTGATCTATGGGTCTGTTCTTGTGCCTGTACCATACTGTTTTGATTATTGTAGCTTTGTAACACAGCTTGAAGTCAGGTAGTGTAATTCTCCCCCAGCTTTGTTCTTTCTCAGGATTGCTTTGGCTATTTGGGATCTTTTGTGGTTCCATATGATTTTAGGATTACTTGTTTTAGTTAATTGAAAAATGCCATTGGTATTTTGATAGGAATTGCTTTGAATCTTTAAATTGCTTTGGGCAGGATTGGCATTTTGACAATATTAGTTCTTCCTATCCATGAGTGTGGGATAGATTTCTATTTGTTTGTGTCTTCTTTAATTGCTCTCACGAGTGTCTTACAATTTTCAGAGTACGGGTCTTTCACCTTCTTGGTTAGGTTCATTCCTAGGCACTTTATTCTTTTTTGGTGCAATTGTAAATGGAATTGTTTTCCTGGTTTCCCTTTCTGCTAGTTTGTTGTTAGTGTATAGGAACACAGTAGATTTCCATGTATTAATTTTGTATCCTGCAACTTTGCTGAATCCAGTCATTAATTCTAATTGTTTTTTGGTGTAGTCTTTAGGGTTTTCTATGTATAATATCATGTCATCTGCAAATAGTGTCAGTTTTACTTCTTTCTTACCAATTTGGATGCCTTTTATCTCTTTGTTTTGTCTGATTGCCAGTACTATGTTGAATAAAAGTGGTGAGAGTGGACATGGTTGTCTTTTTCCTGATCTTAGAGGAAAAGCTTTTAGCTTTTCGCCATTGAGTATGTTGTTAGATGTGGGTTTCTTGTATGTGGCCTTTATTATGTTGAGGTACATATCCTCTGTACCAATTTGTTAAGAGTTTTTATTATGAATGGATGTTGAATTTTATCAAATGCATTTTTAGCATCTATTGACATGATCATGTGGTTTTTATCCTTCCTTTTGTTAATGTGGTGTATCACATTGATTGATTTACAGATACTATACCATCCTTGCATCCCTGAAAGAAATTTCATTTGTGGTGATGGATGATCCTTTTGATGTATTTTTGAATTCAGTTTGCTAATATTTTGTTGAGGATTTTTCCATCCATGTTCATCAAGGATATTGGTCTATAATTTCCTCCCCTCCCCTCCCGTCTCTTCTGTTTTTGCCTGGTTTTGGAATTAGAATGATGCTAGCTTCATAGAATGAGTTTGGAAGTATTCCCTTTTCTACTTTTTGGAATACTTTAAGAATGGAATATTGGCTCTTCTTTAAATGTTTGGTAGAATTCAGCTGTGAAACCATCTGGACCTGGACATTTTTGTTGGGCATTTTCTGTTTCTTCCTGGGTCAATCTTGGAAGTTTGTATTTTTCTAGGAATTTGTCCATTTCTTCTTGGTTGTCCTTTGCCAGGTATGTTACTTGCAAATTATTTTCTCTCATTCTTGTCTTCTGACTTTCTCAATGCTGCCTGGCAGAGTAAAAGTTTGATGAAATTCATTTTATCAATTTTTTTCTTTTACAGTTCATGTTCTTTATCATTTTTATCTTTTACAGGTTGTATATGTGGTATCATTGCCATCTGTGCCTAACTCTAAGTTACAAATATCTTTTTCTCCTTTGTTTCCTTCTGGAAGTTTTATAGTTTTACCTTTTGAGTTTGTCTTTGTGTAAGGTGAGGTTTAGCTCAAGGTTCATTTTTCTGCATATGGATGGCCAATTGTTCAAACACCATTTTTTGTTTTCCACTGATTTGCTTTATCAAAGAATAGTGGCCATATATTATGATTTTATTTCTGCATTCTCTATTCTCTTCCATTAACATGTCTATCCCTTCCACATACCATGCCAGTAATTTGTAAAGCAGGACAGTGTGATTCTTTGAATTCTTTTTTCCCAAACTGTTTTAGCTATTTTCATGCCTTTGCCTTTCCACATAAAGTATAACCAGCCTGTACTTCCATGACCTGAGTATCTATTTCCTTCCCTAGATTGGAGATGTTTTCAACAGTTACTTCCTCAAAGAGACTTTCTATCCCTTTGTTTCTTCTTCTGATACCCTTATTATATGAATAATGTTTTGTTTGGATTGGTCACACAGCTCTTTCATAATTCTTTCATTCCTAGATATACCTTTCCTCTCTGTTCCTCAGTTTGTTGTCTTCCTGTTCTCTAATTTCCATCTGATTGCTTTGTAGTGGTGCCTCGGTTGCTGTTGCTAGGCAGTGGGCAGGGCCACCTTTCTGTCTCTCTGCAGGCAGTGGTTTATCTCAGTATGCGGAGGTGAGCATTTTGCCCGAGTGGACCCTTTGCCTCAGTCAGACCTTTGTGATGAGAGCAGTGGCTTCTGCAGGTCTTGTTGTGGGCAGGTCGCCCTGTGCCTGCCCTGCAGTGGCGGTGGGGCTTCTGAGTTAAGGTGGGAGAGGTGTTCCTGCTGTAAGTTGCACAGTGGCAAAATGATTGGGTATCAGCAGTGACAAGTTGCAGGTTAGGAGGGCTGAGAGAATGCGCGGGAGGTGGTGGTAGCGAGCTGCTGCAGCAAGTTGCACCAGAAGCCCCTAAGCATCAGACTTGGCCACCTGAGGGGAAGAAGGAGCTCTTGGAGCTGGCTTCTGCAGGTACCTCTCTCATTAGCTGGAGACAGGTCCCAGATGGCTGAGAGAGTCTCCCTTTGCCTATGGGACAGCTAAGTCTGAAGCTGCTGGGCTTGGGTGGGTTGGCATTCTGGGTTTGCAAGGAAGTGCCTCAGGGCTGAGCCACCAGTGAAGGGGATTTAGCATCTGGGGCTACAGAGAGTTCCCAACCTGTTGGTCGCGGGGAGGGCTGGGGAGGTATCTTCCATTTGCCCTTTATCCTGTAGAAATAGCTCCATCCAGCCCTCACTCCTCTAGGAACCCTCACACTGCAGGCAAGTCTTTCAAACTGCTGCCTTTGTGCTGGTTCTCAGCAGGAGTAGCTGAGTGTGCTTGTGCTCCACACTCAGCTACCTGGAGTGTTCTAACTGCCTCTGGTGTCCAGTCCAGCTAATCACCAGAACCCAATGCAATATGGATTCATGTTCCTGGAGCAGATCTCCAGGGCCAGGTGTGCAGTGATCCTTGGGCACCTATCCTCTTCCTGCTGTTCTCTTCCCCCGACTTGTGGGCTGGGATGGGGGAAGGGTTTGGGTCAATGCTCATTTGGCTCTGCCACGTTACCCTTCTCTGTGTGATCTTCTTTTCTTCACCAGTCGTAGGTGATCTGTTCTACAGTCTTTAGGTTGTTTTCAGATTTAGTTGTAGTTGCTTCCTTGGTGTGTGTGTAGGAAGTAGTTGCCACCTTGCTTTCCTACTCTACCATCTTTTTTGGCCTTGTTTCCATAGAATTGTATTTTATGGGTGTATTATTTTATAACTTTATTAGTTATCTGGCATACATTTTTTTCCCCCTTTTTTTCAAGCTATATTGCAGTTCTCTAAATCAGAACATCTTTGGGATTCCTCTTTGAAGCTATTTTCCTAAATAACAGCTAAGATGTTGTTACTGACTTTTCATTTAATGTTTAACAGTCTTTTCTCAATATATGGTAGAAAAGATGGAATGTGCAAAAAGATTGTTGTTCTTGCTGGATCACACCTTTCTTCCATGTTAAAGATACCTGTGTAGTGCTTTTATGTACTATTTAATATTGTCACTTCTGTGAATTTTATTTTCAACATTTACCTGGTGTATCAGTGTCTTATTATTTGACTTCCAATTTTCCTTTGTCATTTTGTTTTATTTGTGATTCTTGTACATAATGCAAAGATAATTTTTCTGTTACTTTTATCCTGTATCCTTTAGTAGGTAGATATGCCAATGTTTGTTTATTATCAGTATTAAAATCTGAGTTTTCCATTTTTTAAAATTTGTCAGTTATTAAATAAGCATTTTATTCTTAGCATTTTGCAATATTTCCTTTGTTTTATATGGAAGAGAGAAGGATGAAAAAGAAGGTAGAGAATGAGGAAGGTGAAACACATTTCTAAGTCACATATCTTCAAAATTATTAACTTCATTTATAAATTAATAGCCTGCACTCTAGAGCAGGGAAAAGCATGTATTTGTTTTAGCACCAAGCACAATGCCTGGTATATAAACATTTGGTAAATGTTTAAGGAATGAATAAAAGAGAAAAATGCATTTTATATTTACTTTTTTCTCTCTCTAAAGATTTCCATGGAGAATGATTATCTGGGTCCGCGGAGAATTGAAAGTCTACAAAAAGAAGATGCTGATTGGCAACGGAAAGCTCACATGGCTGTGCTGTCAATTCAGGATCTTACTGTGAAATATTTTGAAATAACAGCTAAAGCTCAAAAAGGTGAGTTCCCAGTAAAATTATCCTTATTAGGTATTTGCATAGGATAGCCCACTCTATGGCAAATAATTTTCTGACCCATCATGTTAAAAGTGCTGAGGTTGAGAAACCCTGGTCTTAAAAAAAGTTTGATCAGTCATATGAATGGCTGCTGGAAAGGATTCAACAAAACACAACAGCCTTGTTTGATGAAAACACTCAGCAAACTGGAATAGAAAGGAACTTCCTTAATCTAATAAAGCATATCTACAGCTCTCACCACTCATATTAAACATAATATAGTAAATCTTAGCCAGTTTTAATAAGGCAAGAAAAATAAATAAATACAGTATGGAAAGGAAGAAATTAAATTGTCACCATTCACAGATGGTAACATTGTGTAGAAATTGTATGGAATCTATTTTTAAAATATCTTGGAACTAACAAAGTGACTTTTTCAAGCACAGGACATCAGGTCAACACACAAAATGGAATTATTTATCCAAGTATACAATGAACAATTGGAAATAAATTTTTTTTTAAATACCATTTATAGTAACTTACCCCAAAATGAAATATTTAGGTATAAATCTAAGAAAATATACAGGATTTATATGCTTAAAGTTATGAAATACTGATATAGTAAATTACAGACCTAAGTAAATGTTTAGAATGTTGTGTCATGGATTAGAATACTCAACATAGTAATAATATCAGTTTTCCTCAAGTTGATAAATACATTTACCAAAGTACCAACAAAAAAATTTTTTTTTCTAGACAAACAGGCTGGTTATACTTTCTGTGGAAAGGCAAAGGCATGAAAATAGCTAAAACAGTTTGGGAAAAAAGAATTCAAAGAATCACACTGTCCTGCTTTACAAATTACTGGCATGGTATGTGGAAGGGATAGACATGTTAATGGAAGAGAATAGAGAATGCAGAAATAAAATCATAATATATGGCCACTATTCTTTGATAAAGCAAATCAGTGGAAAACAAAAAATGGTGTTTGAACAATTGGCCATCCATATGCAGAAAAATGAACCTTGAGCTAAACCTCACCTTACACAAAGACAAACTCAAAAGGTAAAACTATAAAACTTCCAGAAGGAAACAAAGGAGAAAAAGATATTTGTAACTTAGAGTTAGGCACAGATGGCAATGATACCACATATACAACCTGTAAAAGATAAAAATGATAAAGAACATGAACTGTAAAAGAAAAAAATTGATAAAATGAATTTCATCAAACTTTTACTCTGCCAGGCAGCATTGAGAAAGTCAGAAGACAAGAATGAGAGAAAATAATTTGCAAGTAACATACCTGGCAAAGGATTTATATCCAGAATATATAAAGAACTCTTAAAATTTACAATCTAATTAACAAATGGGGAAAAGACTTAGTTCTCCAGAAGATAAAGAAGGCAAATAAGCACTTGAAGAGGTTCCACATCATTAGTCATTAGGGTAATGCACATTAAAAACACAATGAGACACCAACTCATGCCTATTGAATGGCTAAAATAAAAAACACTAGCAATACCAAGTGCGGACAAGGGGACAGAGTAATGGAAACCTTTCCTGCGTTGCTGGTGGGAATGCAGAATTGTACATTTCTCTGGAAGGTGATTTTGCAGTTTCTGGTAAAGTTAAAATATACTTTTCATGGGACCCAGTAATCCCACTCTTGGGAATTTACCCCAGACCAGTATGATTTTAAAATAGAAATTAAAAGAAAAAACTTGAGTACATTAATAATAGTTCCTTTGAACATTTAAAGATGTCTTTCCCTACTGTAAATTATTTTTATAACTATGTAAACTTGGATTAGAGCCTGTTTTCTATATGCACTCTTCTGTCTAATATCAAAAAAAAAGTCTCTTTGCATTGTGATTTAAAAAAGTAACCATTATAGAAAATAAAGAATATTAGACGAGTCCTACCAGCCTTATGTGATCACTTTGTGTATCTGCAAATTCTTTTTTTCTACAGTTTATTACATAATTGCAGTGATGCTGAGTATACTCTTAGAGTTCACAGTTCTGATTTCATAGTTTTAATTATTACTATTTTATACATTGTTTACTCAATTTCAGGTAAAAAAATTTTGTATGTGAACATCATTGTAGGGTTCCAAATGCTTCATCAAGTCATTGTAGACTTCTTTATACTGCAATTCTGGGGACTTTATCTTAGCAGGAAGCCATTGTGCCCAAACAAGGAGAGAGATTTTGTTTGCTCAGCCATTTAATTTACTTTTCTGAGCACTCCAGTGCAGTAATATATTGATCTATGGGTACAAAATATTATAACAGTCTTAAAAGACAGGCAGAGATTTAAAGTGGCAAAATCATTTGATATTCAATGAACATAAGTAAATTTTATTTGTTAAAAACCCTAGAGTTGAGGTTCAGAGTGAGATTGTGAATTGAAAACATTACCTCCTATATGTTAGCATTTAAAGGCTGCAGAAAAATAGAGAAACAAAAGAACAGCTTTAACTATTGAGAGGAGATTCTGTGTAAGCAAATTTCTCATGTGTCATAATTGGAACTCAAAGATAATTTTTAAAGACTATAAATCAAAACAGCAATATTCTTGTATGGAGGTAACCACCAGAAGCAATTAAAAGTTGGTTGGATTTGGTCATTGGGATTAAGGGTGGGAGAAAGCTAAGAATGAGAAACTGCTCTTTTATAATACAAGCCTGCCTGTACAGTCCTAATTTTTAAGTATGTACATGTATTATTGTAAACACAAAAGTTAAGATTTCTTAAAATTCTGAGTCAGAGGTTACTGAGATATACTTCCTTTTTAAGAGATCGTTAGGACATACAGCACAAAATTATTTATCACTTACCTCTGAACATAAATTACTAGTGAATGTGTACTGAAAGATTGCATTTGGTGCTGATCAGACTGCCTATCTCTTTTATGATAATTGAAGTGGTTGACCTATTAAAGTGGTTGGGCAAACAGGTGGTTGGGTTAGTGATATAAAGACCCAAGATAAAGCACTGTCATCATACTACTGTCAGTGATACTTTTTTAACTTGAAGATATTAGCTGTTTGATTGTCAAGAAATCTCTCATAAGATCTCCCTTATGGCAAACTAAAAAGTTCTCTTTTTTTTTCGAGAGAAGTTGAGTGTCTTCCTTAGGGTTTGGTTGTACTGCTCCAACTCTAACCTCAGAAAAAGCTCCATGCTAACATCTCAGATTTATTCCTTCCTATATCTGGCCATTAACAATGCTTTTGAAGGACTCAAAATGATTAAAATTAGCACATAAGCTTAAGTAATTTTAAATAATCTTGAATAGTTATGGCTCTAACTTCAACTAACATACACAGGAAAAAATAGGAACTTTTATAGAATAAAAGTTTTATAGAAAATTTGAAATTTAGTAACACTAGTTATATAAAAGAACATTTTTTAAAGTTTTAAAAATTAACCTAAAAACTTAGTTTTATCCTCAGGAAGTTATTTCTGAGGATAATTATTTCAAATTCTTTTTGAAAACATTAGAATCTAAGATATTATTGAATTACATTTTAGAGCAGTTATAGTATAGGTAATTTATCATTGGAGTAGGATTTGTGGTTTATCTGAGTGTAGTCAGTGAAATCTGAGACTTTGAAAGTCTTCAGTATTAAGTTGTCTTATGTCTTAATGTCTCTTTAAAAATTATTATCAATAGCTGTATATGATCGAATGCGAGCAGATCAGAAGAAATTTGGTAAAGCATCATGGGCAGCAGCAGCTGAACGTATGGAAAAACTCCAGTATGCAGTTTCTAAGGAGACTCTGCAGATGATGAGAGCTAAAGAGATCTGTTTGGAACAGAGGAAACACGCACTAAAAGAAGAGGTAACAGAAACCATCTGAAAAATTCATAAAAAAAAAAAGATTTGATATTTGATTTTTATCTTTGTACAAAACTGACATTTTTTCTGAGGCACTTTTTATACTTTGCACTGTCTCTGTGAGGTGAAGATAATACAATGGGACCTACGATTTGAGTTGCCATAATATGTAAGAGTTACACACACAAAATTTTCATAGCATCACATTGTGAGTGGAGAGAATAACGCAATGTTAAAAAAGAGGTTGACATTCTTTGTTATTTTCAAATTTTTCTACTGTAAAGTTCAAATTCTGACAATTATTAAGAAAGCTTCACACCCAGAAAAGTTTATTAAAAATCCTAAGGCAGTAGATGTTTCTTAGAATTGATTATATTATGCTTCAACCATTACTATTTTGGAACCACCCATTGTTTTCCTACTGGAACAAAATAGGGTTAGAGATCCAAATTTCTTGCCTGTGCTTCATTAAGACCTCTTCACAAGTACAAAAAAGAAAAAAAAACAACAGTAATAGAAATCCTTGAGAAGGGTTGCTGATAAATATATTTAAAACACATCTAAAATGATTTTTAAAAATTAATTTTATCATTGTCATCCTGTTCATCAGTGGTTTTAGTATTCCTCATAGTGCCCCAAACAGCACTGAATGTATCACTGATGCCCAAGCTTGCTAAAAAATATTGAAACTCATTAGATGTATACTGTTTTTCACTATCACCTAGGCCATTATTTCTAATATGCTAATAACATGTTTTGCTATTAAACCATGTCAGAACAGATTGGTTGTTTATGAAAGGGTACTTAAATATGTACATTGGTCATTTGCTGATAGTTTTTTCTGAGTATTAGTAGAAGCAAATATTTGTGTCTAGGAGTATAATATTTTTGAAAACAAGGAAAATTATAATTTTAATCATGAATGAAGATTAAAAGGTAATGTGAAGGATGAACCTGAAAGGGTGTTCTAAATGGCATATAGTAAAACTTGATGGTTTAGACACAACTATTCAGTTTATGCCTTTTCAAAGATGAGAAGTGTTCAAATTATTAAATAAAATTGGGATTGTTTCTCCTTGCTTTTGTTAATCTGTTTTCTCATTAACTTGAGACAATTAACAGTCTATTGTATCATACATTATTTTGTGAAGCCATTTTTGGAAAAAAATGAAATCCTGCTTTTGGCAAACATGCCATACATGAAATATGTCTAAAACTCCTTCATTTATCCATAGCATACCCAAAATGTACTTCTTAAATCTTCTTTCTATTAAGAGCTCATGATTCTTCAAGGTAGTCCAGGCCTAAAACTTCAGTATCACCTTTAATTCTTCCCTTTCCTTTGCCTTTTTCTGCCTTTTGGAAGTCTACCCAATTCAAATGTTCTTGCTCAGTTACTCATTCAGCAGACATTTATTAAGTGTTTTGCTAATAAATGTACATACATTTACACCATACATGTACACATTTTAAAGCATGTATAAAATGCAGTCATAGTGCTTAGAGTTACTAGAGTATGGTGGGGCAAGACACTTGCAGTGTGAAAACAAGCTGTGATGTAGGCAGGTACAATTATATACAAAGTGTGGGCCATTGGGGGCATCCACAGCTTTGACTATAGGGTCACAGGTGAAGTGAGCTGGATGTTCCAGGAGACCCAGAGTGGTCAGGAAGTCAGCCTAGTTATCTGGAGGAGTAATAGTGAGACATGAAGTTTGAAAAGTAAACAAAGTTTGGGGTTGGCTTTCCACACTCTACCAAGGAGTTTTAATTTATGGTATGGAGCCATTATAAGATTTTAATCAAGGAGTAAATGATCAAATTTGTTTTATGAGATACTGCTCTGGCCAATTTATAGAGAATTTACTGGAGGGCCATTCTTAAATCCTCTGCCCATTTCCTTACATGAAGGATCCCTGCTCTTCAAACTTTGTTTCATTGCTAATAATAAAAAGTGAAGCATTTCTCAGAAATGAATGTAAATACCAGAAATTTGGACCCTTAACTCAGTAGTAAAATAAGAATTGGGAAAAGTCAGACCCATACTATGTTTTGGCAACCGGAAATGACTGATTTTAAAACTACTCAAGGTTGCAGGGCACTCCTGGGAAGTTGAGAAATAAAGACAGACTGGGATGGTCTGATCCAGATCACACCTGCTTGCACTCAAGAGTGTACATGGGCTGTGCCTTTCTAATATTGTACCACAGTATCTCAGATAAGCTGGTAAGGAAAGCCAGAAGTGTGGATTTTTGCTGGGCTGGGAGAATTAGCTGGGTGAGGCTACTGAATTTATAGTAGGTATTTTAAAAGAGCACTTATACCCCAGAAGATTTAGGTAAGAATAAAATTATTTGATTCTTCGTTTGATTTGTTGTACATCAGTTCCTCTTATCTATGTTCCCCTTTCCACAGCTTTCATTACCTAAGGCCAACCTTGTGGTCTGAAAGCAGACTACCCTTTCTGATGAACTGTCAGATCAATACTAGTTTAATGCTATTATGTCACAAGTCCTGTGTCACTTCATCTCATCATGTAGGCATTTTATCATCTCATATCACAACAAGAATGGTGAGCACAGTACAATAAGATATTTTGAGAGAGACCACATTCACATAACTTTTATTGCAGTATATTATAATCGTTCTATTGCTAATTTTTTAGTGTATCTAATTTGTAAATTAAAATTTATCATAGGTATATGTGTATAGGAAAAAACATAATTTGTGTAGGAGTCGACACTGTGCTTGGTTTCAGGCATCCACTAGTGTTCTTAGAACATATTCCCTGTGAATGGGGCAGGGAGGAAGTTTAGACACTAAACTGTACGTTGTATGTTTAAAATAACCAAAATGTTTTTAAAAATCACATTATTGAGATAATTGTATTCCATACCATTTACCTACTTAACTTGTGTAATTCAGTGATTTTTAGTATATTAACAGAATCACTGTAATTGCTTCAGAACATTTTCATTACCCCAGGAGTAAGCCTGTGCCTATTAGCAGTCAGTCAGACATTCCCCATATCTCCTTTTAGGCTCCTCAGCCCTAGATAATCACTAATCTACTTTCTATCTCTATAAATTTGCTTTTCTGCACATTTCATATAAATGACATTGTAAAATAATGGGTTTTCTTTTTACTTCACTTAGCATATTATTTTCAAGGTTCATCCATGTGGTAGCATGAATCAGTGCTTCATTTAGTTTTTCCTGAATGATACTGTTGGGGAAGAAATTCTGTTTGGAGATGCATGGAAGTTAGAATGAATATGTTAGGAAGGAATTCATTGAAGTGAGAATAGCAGGGAATGGCACCTGCCTTGCAGGTTGCAGAGAGCAAGGAAGAACAGAGGCAGGGAAGGGAAGCTCACTGAACTCCTGCTCAACAAATCCCTTGTTGATTCCTGAAGCCAGGGTTACCTGGCAGCTGGTATCCGCTTGAATCTTCATGGCGTGGAAACTGAGTCTCTTACTACCCCAGGATTTGGGGGAGCTGCAGAGCACTGGATGGAGTGATATTGTGTTCTGGGAACTTCCCAAAGGCAAAGAAAGGAGATTTTCCTGCAAGCTACTGAAGAGCATGATTGTACAGCTGCAGTTTTGTCCAGGTCATCCAAACAATAGGAATTTGCAAACCCAAATCAGAGCTTGCAGTAGCCCCTCCCTACTTATTGGAGTAGAACAGAGAGAGTGACACACTTGGAGAAAGTGGAGTGCTGTCAACCTTAGGAGGTACGCTTAAGGGTTTAGGTTTTTGGTTTTCTTGGGCCTTTTGGGTAGGAGTCAGTGTAAGGTATGATGTATACAGGTGATTTATAATTCCTTCGAAATTTTGTCTTAAGGATAGGGTTATCTAGGTGACTATTGGTCCGGATCTCAGCATTCTTTACCTACATAGGTTTATTTACATTTTGGGGGTTGTATGTCCTGGTTACAGTTATTTGGGCTGAAAGAAAAGGAAGAATAGTGTACAGGTTAAGTTAAAGAATAAACTGGGCCTTTTTCATGGGCTAAGTAGATTTTATATAGTGATTGGTACAATGAAGGCATGGGCTGCACTCTGATACTTTTCTTTATCTGGGGAATATCAGGACATTCCAAGTCACTCCTGGCCTTTGAAACTTACAGCTAATTAACTCTGTGAGGACTTTCTGGCTCTCTGGTTTTATCTGGTTAACTCTTTGAGTCCCTTTTGGGCTCCATTGGCCTTACTCTTCCTCTACCTGCTTACGTCTGTCTTTCTGCCTAACAATACTGTATGATTATACAGTATTTTGGGCATTCATCAGTTGATGAACATTTGGATTCCTTCTACTTTAAGCGCTGTTACGAATATTCATGTGCAAGGTTTTCATTTATTTTGGTATGTACTTAGTGAAACTGCTTTTTGACTTTTTGAGGAACTGCGAGAATGTTTTCCAAAGCAGCTGTACCATTTATATTCCCATCAGCAGCGTAAGAGGGTTAGAATTTCTCCACATGTTCTACATTTTTCTTAATACTTCTTAAAAGGAAAAGAAGGGATGCTAACTCAACAGTCCAAGCAGGTTTATTCCTAAACCTGAGAGGGACCTCTCTGTTCTGGTGAGTAGAACAAAGAAGGTGTCTCTTACAAGCTAAGAGGCTTTTTATTGCCAGGTTTTGGGCAGGCTTTTGAGGGGTTGGGTCAGGGAAAAGGTGAGCTTGTGGCTTGCTGACCTGTCCTCAGGAAATTGCTTGTAGCCTAAGTAAAATGAAACCTAGGTCTCTCTGAGATGACAGGTGGGCTTATCCAAAAAGGTGGTACTTCTGTCCAGGCTCTGTCACTTATAATTGATCTTTCTTGTTATAGCTATCCTGGTGAGTGTGCACTGGGATCTCATTGTGGTTTTGATTTGTATTTCCCTGGTAGCATTGATGTTGAGCATCTTTTTGTTTGCATTTGGCCACTTACGTATCTTCTTTGGGGAAATGTCTGTTCTGATCTTTGCCTGTTTTTAAATTGGGTCATTTCTTTTTT